CTGACAGCGTGTGCGTTTGGCACTGTGCTCTCTGACATGCGTTTAGCTGCTCCGCACCTCCATTAGAATAAACCTCTGCTGTTTACATGCTGTCTCTGTGCCCTTCACAAACACATGGCGAGGGGGAGAGATGGCGGCAGACTCTACCCAGCACAATGAGCTCCTCAGCGCCATCAGCCATGCTGCCTTCACTTTGTTATGTAGAAGCAGCTCGCCTCAACATCAAGGCGAGAGCGTAGCTGCGGGCTCGCATTATAGTTAGCACTGAAGGAGTCAGTTATTTTCCTTTGATCTGCTCTTCAGAGAGGACTGTCTGTCTGAATTTCTATCAAAGAACGGAGTGACTTAGAGCAGCCGAGAATGACAGATTACCGGCGAGAAAAAAAAAGAAAACAGTGCTTAACAGGGGTTTGGTTTATGTGCCTGGCTGCTTTGTTCCCGCTGATAGTTTATGATGAAAGAGAGAGAGGGGATGTGTTTTTAAGTAGTGTGTCTGTCCTTAAACCTGTACTGCACCTTGGACTTTGTCTCGTGGTTGAGACTTCAATCAGCACTAAAGTACGGCGATTAAGAGTTACTGAATAAAAGGAATATCTGGGGGGAAAGGGAGGGTGAAAAATAAAGGATTTGATATCCGTCTGGCAATTAAGCAATTAAATGATGAAATTGAATCTGGTAATATGTCATGGAGGGCCAATCTGTCCCAGATGAAAGTTTTTTGGGTGCTTGAACTTCCTCCAGCGTTTTAGCCCTGGCTCTTGTCTGCTTTGCTTTGCTTTGCTTTTGAGAGGTGTCTCCAATACGTAGTCATAATCAGTCTGGCTTGAAACGCCAGTCTTTAGATTTCCAGTTCTGGAGGAATTTGAATGAAACAGCGGCATCCAGCAGGGCCAGTACCTTGTTTGCCACTGCTGGTGGGTGGGTGTTTGTCTCCTAATGAATGGACCTAAGCCAAGGCTGTTGACAGGAGAATTACTTGCTCTCATAACTCGGCCTCACCGTGGCAGATGCCGCCTGACAGACGCTTTTAGCCTCGGCTCGTTTGTCATCTTCCAGCAGACCGGCTCAGCCCTGGCCTGCACCCAAATTCAGCCTCTACTACTTCAACACTCACTGATCTACTTCTAGAATCTTTCTACTCAGCTTGCTGGGTGTGAATCCTGATGAAAATAGAAACTTGGAATATGTTATCAGAGGAAGCTCCCTTTTAAACGTCCATATCCTGAGGCATGTTATTCACTAACTAAATAGAGAATGCAAAATGCCTCAGATGTTATTAATTTAACTTAATTTGGACCTGCCAAAAGCTCTGTGAGTAGTAAGGAGTTAATAATGTAATTAATGTAGTGTCAGAGGAAGAGCTTGTCTTATCAGCATATGGGTGAGAAAGGCTGTGTTAAGGGCAAGCAATAGAAATTACATTACAGTAAAAAATCAAAGCTGAAATTGTTGCTACTTGCATAAAAAGCATTTTTTACTCAGTGGAATATTTTGATAGACGTGTGTTAGCTAGCTACTTTCTGCCAAACTTTATTCTACATTTCTTGCCCTCAACCAGTCATGGTTGGTCATAATGTTGGACAGAAAAGCTAAAAAATATATAGTGTAATTCCTGAAGAAAATGCAGAGTTATTATGCCACTTGAGTAGTTGCTAGGGGGTTGCTAAGGTGTTGCCGAATGGTTACTATGGTTTTTAAGCGGTTGCAAAGGTGTGGATAAGTGGGTATCCCAGGTGGTTGCTAGGGTCTTGCTAGGTGGTTGCTGTGCTATTGCAGGTAGTTGCTAGGGTGTTGCTAGGTGGTTGCTGTGGTAAAATGTTGTTTGAGCCAATCCTTTTTATTATCTGCAACATGCTTTAAATTCAAATCATTACTGAAAGACTTAGCACAACAGCAATATACCAAGTAAAAAATATCTTACCCGAATGTTTGCTGCTATAGCATCATCGTTAACTTGGCGCTAACATAATACTGCAAATCCCATAAGAGCGCTATAAGAAATTAGCATTGTTGCAGTGGTGGAAATTGGATAAAAAGATGAATGAAATTTTTTATGAAGCAAATTAATATGTCTCCGCACTGCCATGTAGTGACATACTCATCATTTGATTGTATCTGACTTTCATTATGAACAAAATTAAAAAGGTCCGATTCATGTGTGTATGTGCAGTGTTTTACAACCTTTTGTGCATGTCTGATCCAATCAGATTTTAGAACTGAACCCATCTGCCCCTACTAGTACTGACTGCAGAATGCAGGATGGTGAAGCTAGGTAGCATGAGCTTAAAAGAACTTGCTCAAATGGGTAGCGAATCTAGAGAATCACAGGCAGGCTTGGGCTATATGTGAATCAGCCCCATCTTAGGAAGTTCATATTTTTTTATGATCTTTTGCTAGTAGTGTTGTTCTTTGGTCCACATGAGACCAAAAATAATCAGCTTTAAATCTTTTGTTATCAGGAAATAAACCAAAGTGGAGACAAAATTAAAGTCATTTTAATGGCTATTTTTCTTTAAGACTTAAGCCTTAAGAGTGGAAAAGCTGAGCCCTCTTAGCCCATTTATACCAGCCACTCCTGCCCTAACTTGTTATTGCAAAAAAGATTAGGTAAAACACAAGAAATAAACACTGAGTTTGAGAAAATGACTTAATACTAATGACATTATCGGTCCATGCAGCAAGATAATTTTACTTACTTAAGTTGGTTCGAGTCCAGAATTGAATAGGCTCTGATAAGTTATCAAAAGTTTGAAATAAGTAGAAAATGTTATTTTGTAGATCAAATTGCTTGAGATGAGATTTATTACAGCACAGTAATAAATGAAATACACTGAATATTAGCAAATAATTCTTATTTTTTTTGCATTCTTAATTTTAGCACACTGAAAAATTGAAGGCCAAGGAAGAAGAAAATACATTTGCTGTTGAAGTCAAATAGTTAATACTAGTGGAGTATGATCTTGAAATAGGTAGGCAAACCCATATTTAATTTAAAACTAGTCCTTAATCTCAGAGCATACATCTTAAAACCGAAATCACAACCAGGACTGCAGTGAAATCTCCACCAAAATGTATTGACAACTGAACAGAGAGACAGAGAGTGAGAGAGATGACACCGGCCCACTGAAGAACAAAAAAGGTTATGCTGTTTGAACATCAGAGAGAAAAGATTTATGAATGAAACAAAACTATACCCAATAACAGGGTGAGGAGAGCAGAGAAAACTGAAGGAAAACTGGATGTCCAAGTCCTAAGTCAGGCACAGGTGCACGACAACAAGTGACTGAAAGACAGTGAAAACAGAAAGATAATAATTTTCTAAAATGCTGGGATCACCTAAGTTTGGGCAGTGAAAATCTAAGTGTCCTTTCATTTTCTGGTAAGTGAAGCATGTTAGGCCATTGCCATTGAATAACATATAAACATATTTCCAGATTTAAGGTATTAAGTCTTGGCAAGCACAGAACAATTAGCAGTGTAGGTAAGCGTGTCTGAGTTAACTTACCCTGCTGCTGCTCCACTGCTCTCTCATTCTCTTGCTAGTTACCAACACCTTAATGAGTCATATGAAAATGCTGTGTAAGCGATTTCATTTTTTTGGTCTCCAATTTTTGATCACTATTCAACCACAAACCTGCAATTCTCATTCTGTCTGTACATGTAAAGCATGCAGCCTGATAATCCGTTAATAATCCGACTAATAGCTCAATCGGAATAGAACACGTCCATGTAAACACCTCAATCGGAATAGTCTAGCCCGATTGAGGCCATTCGGAATACAATTTCTATCCGATTGAACGAGGTGGGTAAACCTCTAAATAATCCGTTAAATAGAAGAATAATAGCCATGTAAACGCCTGAATCCGATTACATCCCAATCGGAATGTGTAAGCATGTTCTACGCATGTGCGTCGCGTCATGGCGAACGTTTATACCGTTCAACATGGCGGAGCAGAAACTGGTCTGCAGAGGAGACGAAGTTTATGCTCTGATCTTTAAAAGGCGGCGGTGGGACGGACGTCCAGTTTATGAGTCTCAGAACACGACGTCTTCCTCTCGCCGCTTCCTTTATAAGTACATGTGAAGCACGTTTTCCTGAATCTGACCTCATTTGAAAGCAATTAAAACACCAGCGCGTCAACTGGAAACTCATCTCACGCGGACTGGACCTCACGTGATGATCGCTGTCATGGTAACGTTTACTCTAAGCGCTACTCCACGCATGCGCGTCATTTTGCATCGGATTACTTGTAGTGCTCATGTAAACGAAGATTTTCCATCCAATTGTTGAACAGAGTGTGCATATAAACACCTCAGTCTGAATCTGTAATCCGATTGTATTAAATTGGATTGGCAAAAATCTTTGCATGTAAACATAGCCATTGTATGTTTAAAAGTATCCAGGCATCCCTTCTAGTTCAGCTACTTTAAGGTGAACCCATTGCTGACACAGGCATTCAGTTGGGCACTCGCAGCTTATACAATCTACAGAAAGGCATTACTGTTGGAATAGGACACATGAAGCTAAGGTCATCATACTAAACGCCACTGCATCAACTAGAGGGGTATAAAGTACCCCTCCGAAACATTAGGTTGTGGAGTCGTGAAACGGTGCACCATCCAGTACCTTTGGGATACATTGGAGTGGTGTTTGTGATCCAGAGCTAATCGTCCACCGTCAGTGCCTGACCTCATTAATGCTCCTGTGAAGGCTGAATGCAATCAAATCCTCACAGCAATGTTCCAACATCTAGTATAAAATGTTCTCAAAAGAGGCTGTTACTGCAACAAAGGGGAACAAGCTCCCTGTTAATTCCTATGATTTCAGAAGAAACATTGGATGAGCAGGTGTCTACAAATTTTTGGACACATAGTGTATCTTGTAGTTTTAAGTCTTGAACAGTATCTCTGCTAGATGCTATATGTTCCCTAGACTGTAGCCTCATTGTGTTCATGTTGAATCTGTTCTGACCTTATTCTTTTTTTTGCTTTGAACACAGAAACCCATCTCCTACACTCCGTCATCCGGATCAGTGGTGCAGAAGTTTCAGCCACTTCATTGCTCAGTAAGTACTGTTTTTTTCCCATGGCTGGTATGCACCTTTCTAATGTTTTTGTGGTGTTAGAGGTGACTAGACTAAGTTTCTCATGTGTTTTGAATGTTTAGGTTTGTTGTGTCCATTGTACATTTGTACATTTGCTTGTAAAAGCTCATCCACAGTTACAAAAGGCCAATTTTTAGACAATTCTTAAAACTCAACAGTGTATCCACTGTGATATAAGTCATGGAAATGTATCCCATCTATATATTTATTGCATAAATGTTCATAAATTGTTGAGTAGCATTCATGTGCATAAAAGTTATCATTCAAATGGAGCGCGTTACTTATTAATATGTAGATTTACTGTGCACATGCACAGTATTTTATACTTCCTTACAGGGAAAAAACATTCGCTCTAGTTTTTACTGAATGTACATTTTGTTCTTAGAGTGTCCTTTAATGTGTAGCACGTTTCTCGTTGACGTCTCCTTCTATTATTAATATCACTGTATGCTGATGAAGCAAAGTTATAATGTAAGCCTTTTCCATGGTTGAAATGTTTTACTGTTCTTCATTCTGAATCATGGCAATAGGAAATATGACTATTTCTGTATGTGCAAAATATGCACTGCCAGCTTACATCCACAGTGACCTCACCAAATTTATGGTCTAATTCCGGCCAGTGTTTGCTGTTGAGGAAAATGGTAAATAAAAAGGAGAAATTCAATAACTGTGAGCTTGTGTGTGGAGAATAATGCTTGCTGTAGCTCTCTATTTGTGTGTGTGTGTGTGTGTGTGTGTGTGTGTGTGTGTGATAGAGAGAGAGAGACAAAGAAATTGAAAGGCTGCAATTATTATATTATTGCTGGAACTGAAAATCTTCAGAAAAGGCTTGTGTGCACAGCAGGAGTCCGAAATTGGCTCATTTATTTGTGTTAGTTGTGAATTTGTCAGTGAGGCAGGTCTATCAGACAGCCCTGATGAATTAAAAGCCGAGACTGGGTCATATTAATAATTTGTAGTATTGCAATTTGGGCTTTTCATTGCTCCTTACCAGGTTTATGATCCCTAACAAACATAAGAAAACCGACGTGCCTTCTCTTTATATTTTCCTGTAAGATATCTCAATACTCCAAAATGTCTCATTTTCGTTCTCCTTTTCAAAGGGGCCATATCACTGAAAATGCATTTTCCTTATTTAAAATAAGAGTTTGATGTAGGATGTAAACAGTGTTACAGCTTCAAAGTGTTCCATTCACTCTCCAGTCAAATAAAAACAAAACAGCCTGGTTTGAATTCCTTGGTTTTGTGATGTCACAAAAACCAACATGTTTAAATATATCTACCTTTTCAGCCTACAGTGCTTTAGTCTTGCCTGTTCACTTTGATGTTATGAGAAGTGTTTCAGTCCAGATTGCTTTTAGAATAAGATATCATTTCCATATCAGTCTTAAAGATAGAATACAACTCACAGTATGTTTAATTCTGTGGGGAAAAAGAGAGGTTGGAAAAATGATTTGTGTCTGACTTTGTATATAAACCCACACAAATGTCATACCTCAAACAATAAAAAACAAATAAAACACAATAAAAATGTTGATATTGACACCAACCAAACATACAATTCAGAAGTGTAAATTGTATGCGCAACACAAAATCCCTGTAGGTTGTTAATTGGGTGAATTAAGAACTCTCAGCACATCCCACCATGCACCAGCAGAAAAAGGCTAAATGTTCAGCAGTGGCCAGAAAAGCATTCCAGCATATCCTTTAGCGTGCAAACTGCTCGACAGCTGCCTGCTGTGGTCTGTTACATGAAATGCAATTTTACACTGCAAAGAGGCTTTTTATAAATGGCACCCTCAATATCTAAAGACATAAATGACATAAAAATGGGGATTAGAGGACTATCAGGTCAGAAATAATTCTTTTGAATAAATCCAGACAATGTGTGAGTGAAACAGTGGTGCTTTAGTCAGAGGAGGGCAGACAATGTTATCAGGTGGTGCAGGCTGTTTATTGGACACCTCCCTCTCCTAATTGAATGAAAGCGTACTGCTGTTCTCTCGCTAATAAATGCATCAGCAGTGTCCGTAATTGTGCAGCACAATTGCTTTCTCTTTCGTATCAGCATGGCCCTGCTGTTAGGAGCCCAGCCATGCACAGCGCTAATGGCGAAAGCTTTGGCGTAATGTTCTGATTCTAATGGCTTCTAGAACGGCTGTCTGCAGAATGGCAGAGGTGATAGGCAGACAGGGTGAATTTCAGTGTAGATTAGGATAGTGTCATTAAGATACCTGTTGTTTGTCTTAGCCCAATGCTGCTTGCTCTGTTGTCATATGCTTACCTATTCATTGAGCTTGAAATGTGTCTCAGATATTGTACTGTCATTGGACTTTTTCTGTGTAATAGAATGAACTTGCTAAAGATGTTGGCTCTGCAAAGGAGCTATTGTCCTTAATATGTCCTATTCATGTTATATGTACTTGTTACACTAAATGATTTGCCACTCTCCTGCTATTTATGTCCTCTTAAAGGGGAATGGCACACAGTTTCTAAATTTCTGCAGAACTGTTTCAGAACATTTCTGTTAACAAAATAATAAAAAAATAATAGTGGTTTGATGTGAAATGATGATTTGTTAGTTGTTTTTTATTCTTTAGTTCTTTTTTTATATTTCTATTTCTGCTATTTTATTTAATACCATAAATGACCACTGAACCCACATGTGCCTTTTGCATTTTATATGTAATACTGGTAATGGTAAAACAATGATAATATGATAAATGATAAAAAAATGTAAAGTATGTAAAGTTTTTCTGTGAGGTAGCTTTTAGAAGTGTTAAATGTCTCACATGTCTGCTTCATAGCACTTCTGTTGTGAACAATTATGACTTGTTAAGTTTCTCTAGAATGGAGAATTTCACATCAAACCACTTTTGTTTTGATTGAGTTTGTTTACAATTTACAATTTGAATTATGCAGACATTTTGAAAATGGTATGGTACTTTACATAGACACAGATGGTAGTGAATACTGCAAAACTGCAGAGAATGATGCTAAACATAGACATGAATGGTAGTGAATACTACATACCAAGTAATGCTGTACATAGACGTGAATGATAATGAATACTACATATCAGTGGGGTACTGCACATAATCATGAACTGTAGTGAATACTGCATATCGATGGATACAGTACATAGGCATTAATGTTAGTGAATACTGCCTGTCAAGGGGCACTGTACATAGACATGAATGGTAGTAAACATTGCATACCCAGTGATACTGTACATTGGCATAGATGGTAGTAAACCATGTATACCAAGTAATACTGTACATAGACATGAGAAGAACATGTTATTAACTGTATATGTATAACGTAATTTGTGCAAGTAATAATGCTAAAAATGACAGCTTTCTGAGAGATAATGAGATCGGGGTTATCTGGTGCAGTGCATGCAGACATGAAGTTGTCCTTTCAGACACTAGGATGGTCAGTAAGCCAACAGAACCCAGTGCTGCCTGTATCATAACAAAAACAAAGCTGTGGAGGGAGGATAAGACTGTTTGTATTGGTTTCTATGGTGGAGAGAGTGTCTGTTTTTCTGTGAACCACTAACCTGCTACAGTTTAGATTTGAGACGGGCCATAGGAGGATGTTCAGGTGACTTACCACAACCCTAAACACGTTTTTACCTAATGAAAGCTTTTTCAAATATGCAAAGGACCTATTTTGACATTGTTTATTGTTTAGTTTCAAGAGTTAACACACTCTTCTATAGTATTTTTTTATAATGTCTGTCTTTGCTCTTACTCTCATTGTGCAGGTGTTTGATAAAAGATTTCGAGGCACGTCCATCGGTGACCCATCTGTTGGAGCACCCGTTCATTAAGCAGGCTCATGGCAAAGACACTGCACTCAGGAAACAGCTCGCCGCTCTCATACGGGACCAGCAGGATGTCGGCTGCAGGACCAGGACCAAGTATGTGCCTTTTTTTCCTCGGCAGTCAGTCAGGAGCCAAAAAATGCCCTGAAGCATAACTTAGGAGCTTTTATACTTTCAGGACAAGCTAATGGCCTATCAAAGTGCTGTGGTTTCTGAATATTATTGGAACGTTTTAGTTATTTATGTCCTAGATATCATAAACAAACTGATTTGGAATCTTAGAGCAGTGTATACTGGATTCCTATCAACATCCTGCCTGAAAGTTATGTAGTGAGTTATGTAAATTGTGCTGTAGCTTGTGCCTTTATTATGCATTTGACATTGCTATACAGTGAGATTTCTACATGTCTGTGCTGTTAAGCATGTAGCTTGACCTGTGTTGTATTTCTCATAACCAGCAGGGGGCAGAATGCTCTTTTTTGAGCTGCACTGGATGCCCATACTAAACCAATCCAGTGCGTTTATGCCTGTATTCAGTGATTATGTGGATATGATGTGATAGGGGAGCATCACAGTGACTCTAATGTGATGTGAGTGATTTTGAACACCGACTCACGTTAATGAGCCTAACTGTTATGACTAACTGGATCTTGGATCAGGCTTAGTCAGGAGAGTGGGAGACGTGAAATATCCACTTATTCTGACAGAACATCTCCTCTCTAAGTGTGGAATGTATTTACTCACAATTTTTTTCTCTCAAGAGAACTCTCAAGTGCATTTGATCTACTCATCAGAGGCTTTTGTACACACTTATGGAGTCTATACCAGATTGAGTGCATACTGTCATTAAAGCAAAAGAGGGGACATACCAAATACTAAAAACTTCATGTTCAAATTTCAAAGATTCTACTTTTCACTCAAATTGCTATGCTGATAATGCAATTTGTAATGCAAAACTTTGCATTCAGTTATAAAAGAACGCAAAGTAGAAGCATTTTCAGTAGTGGTCTCAGACTTTTGAACCCCATTGTTTCACTGTATCAGATAATAAGTAACATTGTTTTAATAAAGTTAATGAGGCCATGCCTTACAAACCTGACATCTTGCTTTGATTGGACTGTTTGTTCTGTTTTGTTCACTTAAAATGATATCACAGGTAATCTTACACAGTATTGCAAACGTTAAACACATAATAACAAAATTTCCAGAAATGGACACTATTTATTTAGGTTTTATTTATTATTAACAGTTCTGTAAAAACTATCTGAAGCACCCAGAAATTACACACATTACAAATACATTTTTGTTATTTACTATTACCTAAAACTAAAAATCAGTATTGTTTTGCAACACATACTGGTATAGACGATAGATGTTCTGTGAAGTACTGGGTGCCTTAGACACACAGTATCTGTGATTTGTGTTTGAGGCTAGTTCTGTAGCCGAGGATGATGTGTTTATTTCAGGATGCTGATGGTTTAGTTTGGGTTGAGTGAACAAAGCTGAGACTAATACTGCGATTTGAGCGGTGACCCCACATGACACAGTAGCTGAACTGCTTATGTGAGCGTGCTATCCTCACTAAATCACTGATGAATTTAATGTATTTTGCTTGGAGGAAAATTGTTCAAACGTTGCTGTCTTACGGCTCAGGTAGCTTGATGATGATTCTAATAGTTTAGACAAAAAGGGGATGTGAGACACTGCTGGCTCAAGTAAAAATTAGGATAGTTTCTCATGGCATAAAAATGGAGAAGTTCTTGTCTTTAGTTCAGTTACAGATAAACATGAATGTTATTATCTTGGCAAATCTGAGGACAATATGTAACTTCATTGAGATCTGTACTAAAACTTAAGAGGACTCTTCCTATCTCTTCCTATCTTCCTATCCTGTCTTTCCATCTGATCTCATTGTTGACTAGAAGAAAGTATAGAGATATTGAGGAGATTTTATTTTTCTTTTCTATGGGTGGCCATTTAGGGCAATGCAAACATTCTTCTTTAATTATATGACAGCTCTGGTTTGAAGTAGTTTGAAGTCATCATATATTTGCCGAAAAGCGTTTTTAGAATCAATGCCACAGATGAACCACAGATGAAGCCTCTTTAGTGTACCAAAAATGGTTCCCTTTTTGTGCCTTTATTTTAAAGAATGTAGAGACAGTAAACATGCTTTCAGTCCTGAGGTTGCCAGTATTGTGGACGCTTGTTCTTTTATTCCTCCAGAGAGCGAGAGAGAGGGGGAGAGAGGGAGAAAGGGAGAGAGAGAGAGAGAGAGAGAGAGAGAGAGAGAGAGCGAGAGAGAGAGAGAGAGAGAGAGCGAGAGAGAGAATGACTGCCAGAGAAAGGACTTAATAAGATTATAAGCTTGCAAATGAAAAGTCTCTGCTCTCCCAGTTTAGTTACTGATGGTAAAGATCAGATTAGGAAATGAGGGAATGAAAGAGGACTGAGGAAACCACACACACAGACTCAGATGCTGCACTGTGGTTGAAGGCCGCTGGTGTATTGCGTAGTAGACGAAGGTGTAGACTCAGAGTGCATTCTCTGCTGAAGAGAGGGCGTCACTGGAGAAGGATGCGGTGAGTGGGTCTGGAGCAGTAAGATAGGGCAAGTGCACTGTGAGCTTTATACTGGACAATAGATATACTGTACATGAGGCTGTACATTAGATGGTTAGCAAAGAAAAGTAGTTTAAAAGTTACTGGCTGTACAGTATTTGCTCTTTTGATTCCATTTAAAGTGACACTGAAAATCACTATCAGATTTTATACAATTGTACCCCTTCCACAAATGCAGTTGATCAGAAAAGTTCTTTTCTTCTGTCTGATGTTTGCAGTGGAGCTGCAAGGCTAATGTAGACTAAATGCTAAAAATAGGCTTTCTTAGGTGGTTTCTGACACGTATGATATACTGCTGTCATACTAAATGTCTTGACATTTGTTCATTGCTCTGTTCTGCCGATTTTTGATGTGCCTTTTATGTTTGGTTTTTTAATAAAGAGCATTTCCATATAGCAGAAATATGACATCAACTCTTCTTCTGAACAATCCTAGTTAGTGTCACAACATACATTAGCCATTAGTCTATTTGAAATGTATTTAAAACTTGGGAAGTGTGGGATGATTTAGGCTTTCAGCCTTGTAATTTGCATGATGCTTATTTGTGTACTGCTTCTTTTGCTAGTTATTTTAGCCTTGTGGAGTCACAGTGCACAAAATATGCATAAATTACTTTAAAATATGTGTATTCACGTCTGTGAGAATTTGATTGCATTCAGTCACAAGAGCATTGGTGAGGCCAGGTACTGATGTTGGATGATTATTTGTGGGTCATAAACACCACTTAAACTCATCCCAAAGGTATTCATTGGTCACTCCAGAGCTCACAGGTCCAATTTAATTGGCTTAATACCCCTCTTGCTGACACTTGGCACTGGGCATGGTGACCTCATGTGCAGCTACTCCAAAATGCCCTATTTTATTGCTTTTCTATGGAGATTATACAAGCTGTATGTGCACAGTTCAATACTTGTGTCAGTAATGGGTGCACCTTGAAGTAGTTGTTAATCAAATGAGCCTTTCTATAAAGACAGAAACAAATACTTTTGATGTGATATTGGACAGTGCTTGGCTGAAAATGTTGCTTAGGCTACAGTCTAACTTATGTATACTTCCTTTTGTCTGTGTACCTCTCACTTTCTCTCTCTCTCTCTCTCTCTCTGTGTCTCTCTCTCTCTCACTCTCTCTCTCTCTCACTCTCTCTTACCAGTCTAACACATCTTCACAGTGTGCTAGCTCGGGCCTGAGGGCTTTGTGCTGTGTGTGAATGGACCAGCTGGTTCCCCGCTAACCCTTGCTCCACAGGTCATAACACACAATACAGGTTCAAAGTCCTATCAAGTGCCACAGCTATCTGCTAAAATAGACAACAAGCCCCAAAAGACAACTCCACTGTCTAATCTACCACTCAATTTTGTGTATGAAATCTTTGCACGAGTGCCTGGATTTCTCGTCCACTGAAAACACTCTGTAACTGAAACTCTGTTATTGTCTTTCACAGGCATGAAAGGATCAACACAAGGAAAACAATGCTTATTGAGAGCTCCCCTGATGATGACCTGGTGAACCTGGAGGTGTTAGATGAGGTTAGTTATTTTATACTGAATCATATATTAATTCACTGCTTAGTCTTGTTGAAGGTGTGTTCTACTTATGCTAGCTGCCTTTTAGCTCCTCAGGAACTACCTTCTTACACAATTGACACCAGTCAAACCTGTTGAGCACAAAATTTATACTGTTGTAAAGTACTGTAATGTATGTTATGTGTAATTTGTTATGTCTTGGTATTTTTTAACACAGGAAACTATAATCACACATCTTCAGAAGCGATATGAGGAGCTGCAGATATACACCTATGTTGGAGACATCCTTATCGCTTTGAACCCATTTCAGGGTCTAAGCATTTACTCACCTCAGGTCAGTGCAGTCTGACACAGGTTAGTAAACACACAGCAGCTAGCTTACAGCTAGTTTCCACAACGTCTTCCCGCATTTAGGAAATTTACTTCAATACTGTAATCTGTAACGCCAGAAATGCATACAAACAATGGGACTAATCAACCAATCAGAGTCATTTTTGTTTTGTTTTTTGCACTCACATGTACAGAGCCCTACACAAATATTGGCATCCCAGTAAATATGAGTAAAACAGGCTGTAAAAACATTACATTTAAGGCACTTGGCTGACGCTCTTATCAAGTTTGATTGTTTGATCGTTTTATAGAGGCAGGCAAAGGTAGTTAGGAGTCCAGGTACTCTTTTTGGTGTAGTGTGGGGTTCTTGCCCTGGTGGGGGATCGAGCACCAGTCTGCAGCGTGGAGCGCAGAGGTGTTACCCTGTACATTATACCTATTATTATTACCTATCTTTTTGATCTTTCATTCAAAATATTAACAAAAAACTTACAATGATTGAAAGAAAAAAATAATCTTGTCATGATATATTTTTTTCTCAAATCTGTGTGTGCCACAATTGTTGGCACCCCTCCATTTAATACTTTGTGTAGCCTCCCTTTTGCAAAAATAACAGCTATGAGTCTTCTCCTGTGGTTATTGATGCTGGAGAACATGTGGCAATGAGTTTGAGACCATTCCTTTATACAGAATCTCTCCAGATCGTTCAGATTCCCAGGTCCATGCTTGTAGACTCTCTTCCTATGGGGTGTAGGTCAGGGGACTGTGATGGCCTTGATTCTGCAGTCAGTAAACCATTTTTCCATGATACCATACATTTGGACAAGTTGTCCAGGGCTTTTGGAAGGAAAACAGGCCCACCTCATCACAGATCCACTACCATACTTCACAGTGGGGATGTATACTTTTCTGCATGGCTATCTTTGCGTCTACATCAAACTCACCTCTGGTGTCTGTTGCTAAAAAGATGTAATGTCTCATCTGACCAGAGAACACTGTCCCACTGAAAGTTCCAGTAACATATGGGAAACTGTAGGTGCTTGAGTTTGCTGGTCCAATAGAAACTTTCTTCTGACAACCTTCACAAACAACTTATGGCTGTATAGGTGGCATCTGATCGTAGTTTGGGAGACAAACTGATTCCAAGACCTAATTACTGTCTGCAGTTCCCCATCTGTGATCTTTGATAGACTCCAGCACTACCCCCGTGACCCAGGAGGATAAGCGGTTTAGAAAATGTATGTGTGTGTCCCATGTTCACTTATGTTCTGCATGTTAAAGTTTATTTCTCTTCTGCCTGTTTTCTACAGTTCTCTAAGCTGTATCACGGGGTGAAGCGTTCAGACAATCCTCCTCATATCTTTGCCACTGCCGATGCAGCCTACCAGGGCATGGTGACCTTCTGCAAGGACCAGGTACCTACCTGAAGGGTTTCTAGTCACACCTGTTTCAACATCAACATCTGCTGTATATGTCAACATTCCAGTTTCTCAGTGCTATGAGTAACAAAAGTAATCTTAAATGAATAGAGAAATCTGAATCAACATTAATTGAATGTGTTATAAAAATGAGTGTGTCAGCTTGTCTTTCTGTGGTTTTAGTGCATAATCATCAGTGGGGAGAGTGGGGCTGGTAAAACAGAGAGCGCTCATCTCATCGTCCAGCATCTCACATTTCTGGGAAAGGTATGACAGCACTTGTAATTCAAGTGACAGTACTCTCTTTTTTTAAAGGGAATTACTGATTCTAGGTCCCATTGTTTTTACTGTATCTGTTTTTTACTGGTAAAACTGATCTTGCAGTAGTTTTATTCTTTAGGGAACAATTCAGTACATAATTCATGAAAAATTACATTTCACCACAATTTGATCTGATTATTGTGGTACAGGATTATTCTTAAAAATACACTGAATACACAGAAGTGATTGTATACAGCACTGCAATATACAGTGATCCAAAGTAGACTTGTAACTCTTTCTGAATACAATTTATGTCTTGTTTAGTATTTTTTTTCAAGCTAAAGTTATAATTTATTTATCCATATCCATAAAGTTATAACAACCAGCAATATTGACCAGGTTTACTAACTGAAACTCAAAATGACCCTAAAAATTGAGAACTTAAGACAAGCAAAGCTACTCGTTAATGCTATAAATGTTAGTGTCTCTTTCCTTCTCTTTTCTTCATGTAGGTTAGTATTTAGTATTTTATTTAGGTTAGTATTTTGTTGCACATCCCTTTTTTGGATAGCAGCTTGAAGTCTCCTAGAATTGGATGATGCACAACCAGGCTTGTTGAATTTTCTCTTTTGAATGGCCAGAGCATTGCAGGTTTTGAACGCTTCCTGTCTATTTTCACCACTTCAGTACATTTTTCACCCTTAATTTTGAGATTTTCAATACATCTGCAATCTTTTGTTTCCAAGAAATGATATATTTAATAGATTAATTCAACTCACTGTTCAATATAAGTGTAACATAAGCAGTGTGCACTCACAGTCATCAGATTCATCCACTCCTGGAAAGGGTCCAAAGCACAACCGACGTTACAAAATTTTCTTCCCCACATTGCGTGCAATCTTTAAAATGGGGGTTAGATGTACATTTTCTATTTTTTAAGTTTAAGTCTATTTTTTTATTTTATAAGTACGTTTGAATACAGCAAAGCATAATTTTCGTAATATGTTAAAAAATTATGTATTTCTAAAGAAAGAAATCATGATAGAGATGTCTCCAGACTGCTTTTGAGCACTGTAGACAATAAAAACAATAGCGTGCAGTAGAATAGTCACATTCAGATCACAATGCATCAGTGCCTGTTTACTGTCCTTGAATATATTTACTATATTTAATATATTTACACAAGAATCGTTACTGTCCTTGTTATACATTTTCCAATATGTTAACCACATCTATGCACTCTACTTAAAGCCTTATTGAGGATGACATGATTAATAAGATCTTATGTAGAATATTTAATAGAATTTAAAATGTTAACACTCATAGTACTGCTGCACTGTCGTTGCAGGCAAATAACCGAACACTTCGAGAGAAGATCCTGCAAGTGAACCCACTGGTGGAGGCTTTTGGTAATGCATGCACGGCTATAAATGATAACTCCAGTCGTTTCGGAAAATACTTGGAGATGAAGTTTACACCCACAGGTGCCGTCATGGGTGCTAAGATCTCTGAGTACCTCCTGGAGAAATCAAGAGTCATCAAACAGGCCACGTGAGAAATGATTAATCATTACTAACTGGTCTGCCAGGGGATGACTGCATGCTAAAGTGCAGGTTTTAGCAGTACAAAGTGGTATGTAAGGTAAGTTTAACCATTTCTTGATCCCTTGTCTACTTTCTTCTTTTTTGGCAGAGGGGAGAAAAACTTCCACATATTTTATTACATATATGCTGGTCTGTATCACCAAGAAAGCCTCAAGAAATACAGATTGCCAGAGAAAACAGCTCCCAGGTCTGAAACTCTGATTAGACTTCGATTTTGTAGCAGTCCTAGTGCTCACAAGTGCATAGCAGATATTGATCGTATAATTTTTGTCCAGGTACATTGACAGTGCAAATGGCAAAGTGATGCAGGACATTGTGTCCAGCAAATTATACAAAGAGCAGTTTGATGCCATTCAGGACTGCTTCCGCATAATAGGTTTCTCAGAAGAGGTATAGTATGGTGGCTCCTATTTGTGATCATATAATTTATATAATTTAGTCATTTATTTTCAATCCAATTTTACTTTTACAGGAGGTGAATTCTGTATACAGAATCCTGGCAGCTATTTTAAATACAGGCAATATTGAGTTTACTTCCATCACTTCTCAGCATCAAACTGATAAAAGTGAAGTGCCTAACTCGGAGGCCTTAGAGAATGGTAAGTTCAGAATTGCTTCCATCATACTGTATATAGTAAATACTGTATAGCATACACATTCACACATGCGTTGACCTGCTTTCTAACTCTGTGCCCATGCAGCGGCTGCTCTGCTGTCTATAGGACCAGAGGAGCTGCAGGAGGCTCTGACCTCTCACTGTGTGGTGACACGTGGCGAGACCATCATCCGTACCAACACAGTGGACAAGGCTACTGATGTGAGAGACGCCATGTCTAAGGCACTCTATGGCCGTCTTTTCAGCTGGATAGTGAACCGCATCAATGCCCTACTACAGTCTGACACCAGCATCTGGTAAGTGGATGCCATAATGGACCTATGGTCATTATTAGTGTAGTCCTGGTTTGAGCTGTCATTACTATAGTTAGAAGCAAACCACTTCAAACCTGGATTTGAAAAGCATATAATCTAGCCTTAGATCTATAGAGTGTCCACTGAGTGTTCATAGATTTGAGTTCAGATCTGATTATTTGACTCAATAAAATAAACTGTTACAACATAAAAGCAACACAAAGAGCCCAGTTAGTGTTGCGTATGCGGCCCAACAATTCTCTGCTTTCTGTGCGCAAATGACAAAGTTGACAGAAGCTCACCGAATAACAGAACAACAAAACCACAAACATTATAAATTCTCAAGGTGTCCTCCCTGAAAGAGCTGACTGAGCGCTTCATAAGTGAAAGCAGTTGCAGCCCATCACATCAATTCACAATGGGACAGTAATCAACAAAAAGATGACAGTTACTGTAGCACTGTCGTGTTTATCTACTAATAATTCAGACCAAACAAAAGTTTTAGATTTTAAAAGGTCAGTTAAGGGAGTTATTATTTCAGCTACATTTTTACAGGCTCTGTTTTAGCTGACCATCCCTAAAAACACAGTGCAGTTCCATTCATTTTGTAGGGAGGACTCTGATCAGTGCTTCAATCTTAGCTTGGACTACTTTCACTTGTTCTGTCCTACTACTTTACCCAAATAGGTCATAGTGGCTTAATCTCACCTTCAGCCAAGTTGCCAGTAAGGTTATTCTAGGTCAAGCAATTAGACAAAACAGATTTTACGTGTGATTTCACAAGATTTTGGAATGTAGAAACAGCATTTTCATGCCAAAGGCCATCACTGCATACATCCACAGGCCCTCAGGAGTAAAAAATGCAGTCTCCTTAGCGCTGTCTGTAGGAGGAACTTGCCAAGAACCCTTCAGTACTGACATACTTGGCAGATCCAACCAATCAATATAGTCCTTCATCCTGTGAAACAGAATAGAAATCATTTTGGCTAAAGCACTGTCTTTTCTGTAATCAGTACAAACTCTGAAGGTACTGTGCCACCTGGTTTAGGAACTAGTAAACATGAAATCCAAGCAGGCTTACTGGGATTTGCAATGCCAGTAACAGTATCAATTAGCTCAGTTCCTTTCTCAAAAAAGTGAGAGAGGGTCATAATAATGCAGTTAACACTTTGTTATTCCATTAACCATCCCGTCACTTTTCCCCACTTGACTCAGTTTAGCACAAATTAATGTAGGAACCTTAGACTCACTGTCTTGATCTTGTTTTTCTAGTAGAACGTTTAGCCCGTTTTCACAGCACAGTTGTGAATTGGTTAGGTTGCATATAGTTGCAGCTTGCTTTGATTAGGAGTGGAAATTAAGATCAAAAGTCTAGATCACTGACCTTCCAGACAACAAAACAACCTAATGAAAAAAAAGCAAAACGTTTTCAGGGAATAATCAGAATAATCAGGAAGAGTAAGGAACACCAAACTGTGAATGTCTGGTGAGAATGTGGTAGAATATTTATAGCATGCTGGTCACACCAGGTTCTAATTTTTCTCTAAAAGGCTTTTAAGTTGTACTGAGCTATTCTAAATTTATATCTGAATTAACACACGTAATTGAGTGAAGTTAGTTGAAGAATATTCAAGCACCTTTTCCTTCAACGACTTTAATTAAAGGTCCAGCAGCTGTGTTAACAAAGAGTGACTTCTGAACAACCTCCTTCACTGCAAAAAGTATTACATGTACACGTTCACAGTTAAAACAAACTGAGTTACCTTAGTTTCAGACCACATTTGATATCTACTTTCCATGCTGGATTTGGAATTCTGGCCTTACCTACTGCTGATGCTTTTACCCATATCCTTAGATGACCTCTCTGCGAGTTGGGATTTTTTTTCTACAAAAAAGATTCTTGTGGATTAACACAAACTCATCAGCCAACAATGCAGCCACACAGACACCTGAAGCACCTTCTGCTATGTTAGACAGGTTCCTAGATCCTCAGGGAGGCAGTTTGAGAAGTCTTAGAGAATGATGAAATCATTCCTGTTTCCTAGCTTATATACATTTAGTCTATACTAGCTTATATGCATTTATGATGGTAATCCTCAAAAACTAGCTCATAAGATATTATAACTATACATTATACAGCCCCTAATTCGAATGAGGTCTAAGACTTTGACATTTGCAAAAGCAATGTCCAATGTTTCTAGGTCAGTGGACAGAAGAAGCTGTACATTTAAAAAAAAGTTTGAAGTATTTTTCTACTTATTTAAGGAGGAATCATAAAAATATGATGATGGCAATCTCTATAGTAGAGGTAAATGGGCTGTTACTTTAAATCATTTCAACCTGATGTTTTTATTGTGCAGAATGGTTTTCACTATATCATAGTGTTAACACACTATGATATAGCTTTTCGGTTAAAGAAATATTTTAGCAGTATTGCTAGATCATAGAATAATGCCCATAATCTAACGGTTAACTGTAACATATGTAATTTGCTGTGTGCTTTCAGATTTAAAAGAACAATTTAAAATACATAAAAAATTAAATAAATTAAATAAAGTAAATTTCTTTTCTGGAAACTTAGGTTTCTGTATGGTTAGCATTTATGATATTGTGTGAGTCTTCGATGTGAAAGAGAAGAATAAGAGACAATATTTTAAGAGAAGAAAACAGAATAAAAACTTTAAGTGCATGTAAAAATTTCACTGCGAAGCACCCTTTGCTCCATCAACACCGATATAATCTTAGATCTGAGATCAGTATTATGACTGCCATGAACAGCACTGGTTGAGGAGTGTTTAACATCTTGCAATAATAGCACGTAAACTGCTCTACATTAGGAGATCCAACAAACTGACAAAAACCTTCAATGTATGTGCTTCTAAAAGGAAATGTATACATATACAGGAAATTATGTGTATGCATTTTATGTGTTACATAACCCCATAATATCATCAATCCAGGCTAGATGTCATTATATCACAGTCTTCTCTCTGAATCATATGCAAAAATGCATAAATTGACTATTCAGAAATGTACAGCTGTGTTGAATTACTGCTGTTTTGCTATTTGTCTCATGTTGCTTTCTGGCTCGTCAGATCTTTCCCAGTGTTGAGTTTGTATGCACAGTCTCTCCGTCTTAAAGGTGACCTCCAACTTGGCCAGCACAGACCACAGAATATTAATTGCCAAGACAAGAAAAGTGCAGTGAAAAAAAGAGGTTTCTATAAATTTTTGATATGGAGTTGCATTGAGAAAATAATATTCAGATGATTAAAAAGACTTCAGAGAGAGAGAGTAAAAGGCAGTTCATTGATCCAAGAGAATCCCTTCAGATATCAGCGTTTGGACTTGTCAGAGATTCTGATGTCTTCTAGTCCACTGCACAAAATCCAAATACACCCGTTTCCACTCCAATCATCCTGGTTTTCAACATTATTGCCACTAATAACCTGTTAAACCTGAAGGAAGGTGACCTTTGAAAACTGTCTGAATAGTTCAGAGTCAGAGTGTCTATGTGGTTTAGTTCAGTCTGAGTACTAAGTTACTCATCAGCGCAAATTATGTTCTTTATACTGTGCTTTGTTTATTTTGTGTTGTTTTTTGAGGAGGGGCTGTAAAATGAAATAGTATTTATAGAGTGGTGATGACTGTAACAAAATGTGACATTAGCTTAATGGTGGGATGTTGTGTTCATGCTCTGTTTTTGAAGTGCATCAGAGAGTGGGATGAACGTGGGCATTCTGGACATCTTTGGTTTTGAGAACTTTAAGAAGAACTCGTTTGAGCAGCTGTGCATAAACATCGCCAACGAACAGATCCAGTTCTATTTTAACCAACATATCTTCGCCCTCGAACAGGTGAGACACTTTGTGCACAGAATACAGGCTTATTTCTCGTAGTCGTACATACATTAGATCAGCCCAGCAGGCTCGGCTTAAGGAAATGTATGCTTAAGGTAGCTTACTTGTTAGATATTTGGGTTGTCAAACGACAATAATAATTAATCATGATGAATCTTCTGTGTAGGTAATCACAACTGCATTCATCTTGTTTGCTTGTTTGCTTAATAGCTTACTTTGCTGGATGTTAATGTAACACTCTATTTTAGTATCATACAAACAATTTGTAACATTTCACACTCTGTTCCCTGTGACTTTAAGTTTTTAACTGTTTTTTATATTTGTTAAACAGAAGTTTAACCCCCACTTTTCCACAGATCCAAAGATGTGTAGTGTCTTGATATTTGCTGCTTTGGAGGTTGCATGTTTTCTCCTGACAAGAACTATATTGACCAAAAGGAATATGCCACATCAGAAATTCCATTATTCCACAATAAAACTGAGCATAACACAACATTTTTTGCCATGACGCTCCACAGTGCTTTGTTAAAGTCAGTGTTTGTTTGACTGTAATCTGTTTAGTGTTGTGTGGAGAGCTGTACCAGTAATGAAACTGTGTAATTGGAGAGTGATTTAGATTGCTCTGCCACACTCTTATTAACACTAATCAACACACAGCCGTCCTGCTCTACTCCTCAGCCCTGATTTCACTACAACAGACTGATGCTCTCTATCTCTGTCTATTTCTTTCTCTCACCTTCTTCCTCTTTCTCTTTCTCCTTGTCTCTCCCTCTCTCTCCCTCCCTCTCTCTCTTTTTCCCTCTCTCTCCCTCCCTCTCTCTCTTTTTCTCTCTCTCTCCCTTTCTCTTTCTCTCTATTTCTCCCTCTTCCTCTTTCTCTCTCTCTCTATTTCTTGATTTCTCTCTCTCTCTCTCTCTCTCTCTCTCTCACACTCTCTCTCAAACTCTCTCACTCTCTCTCACTTTCCTTCACTAGCCAGAAGCTATAAGACCTTTATCATAATTGAAATACAGACAGATAAAAGTAAATAAAAATCTTGTGTAAACGTAAGTCTTGTGAAGAGTAAATATAAATGAGAATACTCTATACAGTGCAGTTCTCTTATCAAACGGAGTTCCACCTGTCCTAAATCTAATAATTAAATGGCATTTAGTAAAAAAAATGCTGCAAGTAAGTAATTTAGAAATGAATAAAAACACTGCATTGAAAGCCTCTCCCCAAATAGTCCAGTAATTCAGTTAGTGTTTGCTAATGCCATATTTATTGAGTGCCATTTGTTTTTGCTTATCATGTTGTCCATTAGGGAGGTCTGTCTGTGTGTGTCTGTGTGTGTCTGTGTGTGTCTGTGTGTGTGTGTTGCTCTCTGTCTGTATGCGTGTGCGTGCGGGCGGGAGGGTTTGTGTAAGCATTTGGCCTGGCAGGCCGGGTGCATAATTTCCCTCATTACTAACAGCAGCATTAGTGAGCTTCATTATAGAGCTGAATGGGAATGAGATTTAACACACACTGCTCCTCCTTAATGATAAACACACAGCACTGCTATTCCACCGCGCTGATTAAAACATGAGGGTGGGTTAAAGCCGCCAGTCACGATTCGTCTCCAGAAGATTACGTTGAAAGAAATATATTTGTTTGCATAATCTTCTTGCGATGGTATGACATTAGTCCCTCTGTGAGTCAACCCCTCTATTTAGTGAATCACATTTTTGTTTGATTTCAAATAACTTTTTTTCCAGCTATTCTGCTGTATAAGAGTGCACTGTAGCAATATGTTTGCTTTGCTTGAGTAAAGCTATACCCTGTCATGAAATTTATTTGAATGTTGTGCCTTCTTTATATTGTGAAATTGTCAGCCCTCCACATAATGTGAAATAGAGTGAATGAAGCCATTGAAGTGAATGATTTTCCTTCACACATGGTTCTAGTATTAAGGTACAAATACCTGACAGCTAACATTGTGTGTGTGTGTGTGTGTGTGTGTGCGTTTCTCAGATAGAATATCAGAGTGAGGGTGTAGACGCCAGTCTGGTGGAATATGAAGACAACAGGCCGATCTTGGACATGTTCCTACAGAAGCCCATGGGGCTGCTCTCCTTGCTGGACGAGGAGAGCCGCTTCCCTCAGGCTACTGACCAGACACTCGTTGGTAACACGCTGCAGCAAACATAGCTTTTAAATTGGTGTCTCTACTTGTAACCCTTGCTGTAGTGATATGTGTATACTGTTAAGTAACTTTCATTCTAACTGATACTTTAATAGTCAGCAATGGGGCATTTAAATCAGCTGTTTACTTATTCTCTACTTCATCCACTTATTTCATACGTTCTCTTCTTTTCTAGACAAGTTTGAGGACAATTTGCGGTACAAGTACTTCTGGAGACCAAAGCGTGTGGAGTTATCCTTTGGAATTCAGCATTATGCTGGAAAGGTAACACAGTGTGGACGGATCACATATCTGCTGTGCGTTTAAAGGACGTATATCCTACACTTTTCTTGTATTTCATTTTTTCCCTGTAATGTTTGTGTGGTATTATGTACCAAAACTGGTCATAATTTCACATCATAAATTTCCAACTTCTTCTTATCATTTACAATTAAACAGGCCTTTTTCTGATAAGAGATGAATGAGCTCTGTTCTGACTGTCTGTCCTCTATTGTGCCCCAATCAAAAAGATATTTGAGCTGAAACACTGCCTTGAACTGGAATATGGGCTGAGCTAAACTGCTGTTTAGTTGAGTAGGTGGATATATGAATAGTAAATTATGTTTTTTGTTACTTTGACATTGTTTATATATTATTTCAGACTTTCAGTTCAATTCGCCTGCCTCCGCTCTGCCCCGCCCCCCCAAAGATATAGGCCCTTTAATCTTATGTCACACTTGCCAACCCCCACAGTTTTCCAGTTTTCATATCTTCATCCAGGATTCTCTCAGGGTCAAATTTCACTCATATTTCTCCTGTTTCCAGACCTGTTTTTGTTATCACAACTTGCTGCAAGAAACCCCAAAACTAATGCTGACAGTGATGTAATTTAAAGTGATATCACAGAAGTTACATGTCGCTACTTGTTTTAGTATTAAATAAAATGTGTTGCTAATACTTTACAGATTTCTACTTTACTTTCAGGTCTCTTAACTAGCATTGTATACTCCATGAACTAAAATTTCACCTCAGTTTTCAGTGGCTTATTTCTGTTTCAGAAAACTCAGCATGTTCTTAATTTCTACAGGCACAGATCTGTGTTGTTTTTACAGTAGCTGCTATACAACATGGTAACACCATATTATAGATCTGTTAATGCTTAACAAGCAACAGTGTTTGTAAGACAAGATGAAAGTCTGCTTTACAAAAAGTAATACAAAATAATTAATCATTTTTTGTAAGTGGGGTATAATTGACAGAAAGCAATGCAATTTTGTATTGTTCCTGATTACCATTAACACATGTATAAGCGGTAGTAATTAAGCATTTAATTGACAAAAAAGAATTGATTTTACAAAAGATCTATTAATACCGAATTACCACTTATTAGCATAAATTACAATGTGATCACATGATAACGTGTTTCTAAATCATCAGTGTTTCTAATTATATGAAGTTGCTGCTTGTAAATATTGGAGTCCACTATTAGGTCTAAGCGATTTGGGGAAAATATCTAATTGTGATTTTGTGATTATTTTCTGTAGGTTTCTATAAATTGTCCATTTTTTCTGGCTTGAGGCTTGGATGGTAATGGTAGTGTGCCAGGCTGCCAGTTTCCAGTCTATGTGGTATTGGGTTAACCCCAATTAAAATACGAGGCTTAGTATTCAGTAACTATTGGGACTTCAACGCAAACTGGCTGTGCTATTCTTAGGTTACAGAAGTGTGTAACAAAACTTTGGGCCCGCCGGGGTGAATTGTCTCTAAAACGTGTTAAAACAACATGCATAATGTAGAATAGAATTAAAATTGCAACTCTTGCTATTTAAAAATTGCACACACTTATACTGTATTAATGATAAAGTTTATGATTTCTTAATGTTCTACCCCACATCTTGGGCTTAGACCATTTTTGAGGTCTCAAGGGACTCAAGTATGCTTGTGATTTTCTCATTCAAACTTCTATCCATTGTGGTCTCCAGATTCATTGTTTTTTCTCAAATCATTACCAGTACTAATTCATGATGGGGTTTCTCTCAAAGGTGTTGTATGATGTGAATGGTTTTCTGGAGAAGAACAGAGACACTCTCCCAGCAGACATTGTGGTGGTTTTGAGAACATCAGAAAACAAACTCCTGCAGCAGCTCTTCTCTAGTCCCCTCACCAAAACAGGTATGACCCATAGCTACAGATCAGTGTCATGACAACTGTTACGTGTAAATGTGCATGGTGTCAGAAGTCGCACTTTACCCGTTTTCTCACAACTCATTACTGTCTTCAGGTTCAGTAAAGCCAAAAGTCATCACTTGGTCAAACATGTATCCAAAAGGTCATCGTCTAACTTTAATGTCCTATATGAGGTGAGGTTTTTAACTCAGCAGCACAGGACTCAAAGACATGAAAAAAACATTGCGAGGTAGAGGAAAAAAAACGCACACCTGTGTTTTTTCTTTCTTTGTTTCTAGCAGCAGTTTGTAAATTTTTAACTTTCTGTGTTGAAATAATGACTTATTTTCTCAAAATTTGGACTTAATATCTTGAACGAATGATGTTTTTACTCAAAATTTTGACTTAATAACTTGAAATGACTTATTTTTTCAACCTTTTGACTAAGTTTCTGAAAATGGTGACTTACTTTCTCAAAAGTTTGACTCATCCCAAAATAATTACTTACTTTTTTATTTAATAACTTACAGTGTGTTGAAATTCAAATGTTTAAGAAAATAACTGACATATTGGCACAGTAAGTAACTATTTCAGTATAGTATTTTGACAATGTAAGACATTATTTGTAGAATAAAAAGTCAATATTTTGAGAAATTAAATCATTATTTTGAGACGAAGTAAAAAAATGTATATACTGTCGTCAGAACAAACACGCATTTTTTTCTCCTCTACTTGGAGGGAAGGGCTTCCATACAGAGAGGATAGTGTTAAGAAAAACTGTGCTTTCAATCTGCATGATTTAAAGTCAGTTGGTTCCATGTGAATAAAAATATGTTGCAAATTTACTGTCATTCTGTTTACTTCCTTTGGCAAGAATTGTGTTGCAGCACATTGTGTTGATTTAACACATTTGAATCATGCAAATTCAAAGCATCTTTTTTTCAGTGTGGTAGTATAACCACCACAGTCACTGACCCTCACACCTCTCTATCACCTCTCGGGGGATCAGCAGCATCATTGATCATTTGGGGGTCAGCAGAGCTTTGAAGAGGTCACACATTTGGGTAATCGTAAACATCGCTTAGTTGCATGAATGTTTGTGTGTGAATATTTACGATCAGGACAGATCATTGAAAAGTGTCATTATTCACACGTTGAGATGTTGCTGTCCCTGTTGCTGCAACAATGTTAAGGGTCACTCTTAGGGCAGCACTTTTATAGAGTGGTCACACAACTAACATTATAATGATGATGTGTGGAAGTGTGAATGCTTTGGTATGGGCTGTTAAGTACATAGCACCTTGCCTGTTTAAGCCCCCCCACTCTCTCTCTCTTTCTCTCCCTCTCTTTTTGCCTCTCTCTTTCTCTCCCTCTCTGTCTCTTTATGTGTCTTCCTCTTCCTTTTGTGTTTCAGTACAAATCTTTCTCCTCCTTTATCTCTTGTGTGGCTGATCTCTGGGTGGAGGAATAGAAGGATGGTAGAATATAAGGATGGAAGAATAGGAGGATCTGTTTTTATTTTCGCTAAGCTGTCCCTCTCGCTTTCCTGCTGTTTTGCCGCTATCTCTCACGATTGGGAAGCGGCGTTTGGGACATTCCTGCGATAAGGTTCTCAAATACGCAGAGGATGAGACGTCGCTATTTAGAGCTCTTACAAAGCACATGCAACTCCTCTTCCTTGCTCATTGTGCTGCCAGCAAGGTGCTTAAGAAAGCAGGCAGTAGGAAGGCAGGCAGGCCTTGGCCACTAGACTTAGTGAGGAGAATGGGGGCAGAGTGGTTAATTATGAGATATGTGTTTCACACACCTCTATAGATAAGCCATTATTTGGCTTCCCACTCCTTTCAGATACCCATGAGTGTGTTTTCTTAAAGGAGAATTGAAAGCACTAAGAAGGAAAGACGAAGAGCGATTTAAAAAGACTGAACAAGGTTGGCCTCTACTAACAAGGAAGTTGTTTTCCTCTCTTTTAGTGGAGAGAGGAAAAACCTATCTGGGTGTAGTCTGGATGTGTATGTGGAAAACTGTGTATGTGGCTGTATGGGTGGGAGTACTCTCCACATCGCTTCACTCATGCATCCTTATGCACACTACTGTGCAGAAGTCAGAGACCACCTTTCATTCATTTAATTAAACACATAATAAGCACAAGTTATTCAATACACAGAAGCCTCAACATCTACATATATATGTTACATATGTGTGTGTGTGTGTATATATATATATATATATATATATATATATATATATATATATATATATATAAAACTATATATAGACAAAAGTATCGGGACAAATCTCCTAATTATTGAGTTTAGGTGTTTTAGCCACGCCCACTGATAACACCTGGATAAAATTAAGCACATAGCCTTGCAGTCTTGATAGACAAACACTGGCAGTGGAACTGGGTCATACTGAAGAGCTCAGTGACTTTAAATGTGGCACTGTTACAGGATGACACCCGTAGTTTGTGAAATTTCTGTGCTGCTAGATCTGCCCCTGTCAACTGTAAGTGTTATTATTGTGAAATGGAAACACCTAGGAGCAGCAACAACTTAGCCATGAAGCGGTAGACCACGCAAACTCACAAAGTGGGGCTGCCAAGGGCTGAAGCGCACAGTGCCTGTCCTCTGTTGAACTCACTAAAGAGTTCGGCCAACATCAGTGTCTAAGCTCACATATGCTCTTCTGGATGTGTGTGTGTACAATATTTATATTTTTATTACAGCTTCCATTCTTTCTTTCCTAGAGACCTTTAGTTTTTCAAAGAAATCTGCAGGGATGTTTTTCCACACCTTCAAAATTCAATCTTAGAAGTTGGTTCTCACAATCCAAGGAATCCCAAAGACATTCAGTAATGTTGAGGTCTGGACTCTGGGGTGGTCAGTCCATTGTTCTGAGAACAGCTCCTCTGTTTGATTTGCACATTTTCTTTTTTGTCTATTTCGTTTTCTCAGTAACAGCTTCTTTACAGCTACACATCCTTTCAGACAGTGGAAGTATGGACAGAAAACACGTGTGGATTTTTTCAGATCTGAGGCAAAAGTGGAGCTTGATTTTCTCCTTTCTCTCAAAGATGAAAGGTTTAAGTAATATTTATCTCATGGTAGCAGTTTTGGTGTTCTTCCAGGTCTTGCACAGTCATTAGGAACTTCATTTTCTTTACAGTTTCTGGATTAGGAATATCTTGTACTTAATGGCCATTTTGGCTGGAAATTAAAGAAATGAATGTTGGTCTCTGACTTTTGCACAGTACTGTACTGTATGTTTGTGCAGTGTATAGATGTATTTTAAGCTTGAAATGCCATTTGTTACGTTGTTCAGAAAAGCCCACCCTTTTTGTGATTATTACATTTTCAACAGCCTCTCATTGTGTAATAAGTGAGGTGCTGCTGTAATTGTTATTGGCACAGTGCTTTCAGAGTCCTCTCTTTAGCTACAGCCGCTGAGCTCCTCCACTGCTTTAATGTGTGGGTGGTTGGACAGGGCTTTTATGCTGTCCACTCTTCTACTTATTTCTGCTCATCACAGCTGTCTGACTCTTCATGCTAAGATAAACCAGTGAAAACAGCATCTTCCTTTCAAGTTACAAATACTGGCCAGATGAAAATTTTGATCTTCAGGCTGAAATGTGAGGGGAATTTAATTTGCATATATTTTTTACTCCATTTGGTAGATTTCCCTGTTATCTGTGAAATTACAGCTATCTGCAGCATCTGATAAAAATCTATTTGTCCCTGGTGGTGTTTTGATGTGCATCGCTCAAAGGCGCTTGTGGGGTGCATCATACCACTAGGGGGCAGCCTTGATGACTCTACTGCATCAGCAAGGGCTGTTCACAGTATGTCAGGATTGATTTTCTGTGATGTTTTGATTTTAATGGTGCTTGCTGTCATACATGAATGTGGAGGTAAGAGAAATTGTAAGCTCAGAACTACTTTTTGCTGGGAAATGGCTATACTGCATTATTATAAAACCTAACTATCCAGACTTTAGATATTTACAAGGATTAGTTATGATCTATTTAAACCCATTAACCAAGATAGTAATAAGCTAAATATATAAATAATAATTTTAGGGTACTTTCTATTAGGAGGTGGCTGTCCCAAACCCAAAAATTTCAACTTGTGAAAAATAATACTTCTTGAATTTTTTTCAATGTCTTTTTGAAAAGATCTTTTTGATTTCTTGATGTTGAGAGATTCAGATTTATCATGAGTTTATTAAGAAAATGCTGTCCCAAGTTTAATGTCACTACTGAAATTCAACAGCTATGTGTAAAACCACAAACCACCATTAGAATTGCTTTTTATTAGTATATTATGAATAGTGTAATAACATGTGGTTATGGTCAGCCATAGACTTTTAGTTTATAGGAGGGGCCTTATTTTAGCCACACCCCTGCACTGTAGAGCAGGAACTGAGACTGCATCACGGCCCCTCATGGCCACATGGTGAGCAGTTAGATCCCATTGTTTTAAGTAAATGTCATTGTGTAACATTAAGAATGTCACTCCTGAAACATAGCAATTAAGTACTTTTTGTGTTTGAATCGAAAAATACGATTTTATTTGTGTACAACTGTTTAAAGCTGTGTGTGCTAGTCTACTGGCTGGTGTTTTTGGATTATGTTCAGTTGATGCTAAAATTGTCATTTGGTCAAGTTTCAGAAATGTTATGTTCAGTCATTTATTTTAATAAACATAATTAAAGCAAAGTGTCACCCAAAGTTTTAGTCTAAAGTCCAAGTGAGTTTTAAGTCTGAAGTGTGTTTTGTAGTGATCCATATAGAAATAAAATGATGTATTTGATTCAACACAGCATTTAACAAATGCATCATGTATTTACTACTACTACTACTACTACTACTACTACTACAACTTCTACTAATAATAATAATATTAATAATAAGTGAATGTAGTATAAATGTGGCTAGTAAACTTGCTGAAACTGAAGAGATCTTTGAGGTCTATTTATAAAACTTAGTAGATGCTGCAACCCAGGAA